TGTTGTGATATGCCCATTTCTGATCCAACTGGTCCAAAGGATGCTCTATCAAATCTGTAACTAGCATGTACTGTTGTGAGGTCTCCCCAGGCGTGCTTCCGAGAGTGACTTCGAGTTTCATTAGCCGAAGCTGCGTTCCGCACACTGCAGCTATCATGGCGACTGCGCAGCCAAAGTTGCCTGGGCTCGTCGCAGCTGAAATCTGCCACGGGCCACAGGAAAGTGTAGTAGTACGTTCTCTCTCTTTGATTGCCTTCTCAAAGAGTGATCCAGAGCATAACAGATTGTTCTTTGTTTCCAGGGGATTTAAAGGGTGGATTGCCAGAATCTGAAGATCATAGGGCTTGGAAGGGCTATTCGTTGGGTCTGATCTGCGGACTTGCACTAGCATGACTTCATTGAGATCGTTCACAACTGTTAAAAGTGGGATTCCCCAGCGACTTTCATGCGAATGTAGAAAGGAAGACCCGGTGATAGGTGTTGAAGGCTTCAAAGTTTCACACCAGGTAAAAGATCGAATGTTAACTTTCCGAAAGCCATGGCTATTTGGGTCCTGTGATGGTTGCAGCTGTGACCAAAATACATGATTGATGACCGCAACCCTAGTCCATTGCCTCTTAAGGCCAATGGGCTCCCAGAGGGACAGTACCAAATTCGACGTCAGCACGGCTAGGACACTACGTCGATATTTGCCTAATCCTGCTGGCGACCAAGCAAGACCAACGACATTGCTTTCCGAAAGGTCTGCAGCGACAGAAAAATCATCTCGATTTCCCGGAAGGTAGTTCGGCCATTCAAAGTTTGTAAACAAGTTGGCTCTAACACGAGTCATGTGCCAATCTTGGGTTGAGTTGGGGGCAGAATCCTCATCCCTGCCATTTTTTGGTGTCTGTCAAAATGTCAGATACATTCAAGCTCATTGGATAACTAGATACACACCAGGATTTGGAAGTATTCACCGGCAGCGATAGCAAGCTCGCCGTCCGGGGACCAAGAAATGGCGTCATGGCAGGATGGAGATAATGATAGAGCCACAGGGTTCAACATGGTGTCAGACATCAGATCTTTGCCGTGCCAGCATTCTTGGTAAATAAATGGTTTGCGAGGTAGAATATGAAGATATATGAAGAAGAGAAGCCAGAGATCTGCTTTTGTTTGGGTCGCATTCTGCTGGTTTGATTCCTGAGAAATCAGGCGTCGACGACGAAAGACCATGTTAACTACCTAAGAGTACTCCCATGATCACTTCAAATTGGGAAACGGGCGATTAACAAGAATAAATATATTGAAGACGACACAAGCAGAGAAAGAAAGTTGGATTAATGGCTTTATGGAGATATCTGATAGATCTAGGACAGGAAGATGAGAAAAGAGATCAAGAGAGCCATGCATAGTACATATCAATGTAGAGAAGGCCCGGAAAAGAACGGGCGAATGGTTTATACATGAAAGGGCCTGGAAAGTACCAGGTGAATAAATAGGATTTTGGCCAATCTGATGTTCCAAATCGCAGGAAAGCTACACTTCTGCGCTATACGGGATGATATCCAAGCTTGGATTGTTCATTTGAGGGTATCAGTCATAACTTGCCAGCGACGACACTGCACAATTTTCGGTGAAATCAATACACCCGATCCAGTCTCTGCACAACCATCGCAGTCGCAGCACCGCCGCCGTTGCAGATCGCAGCCACTCCATACTCGCCGGGCTGCAATTGGTGGAGCAAGGTGACGAGGATACGCGAGCCTGAGCTGCCCAGCGCGTGGCCGAGAGAGATGGCGCCTCCAAGCATGTTGACTTTGGCGTTTTGCAAACCGAGAATCTATATGAGTTAGAGCTGATTTCGAAGCTGGACAAACACGGCACTGACCTTTTCATTGGCTTTGATGACGGCCGCAAAAGCCTCGTTGAATTCCCATACCGCCACTTGGTCCTTGGTAATACCGGCACGCTCCAGCGCAATCGGAACTGCTTTAGCAGGGGCCACTGGGAAGTCAACAGGGTCGATTGCGGCATCGGCTGTAGAAACGATACGGGCCAAGACACGGCTGCCAAGGCCATATTTGCGAGCAATATCCTTGTTACCCAAAATCAGAGCAGATGCTCCGTCATTCATGGTAGATGCGTTGCCCGCGGTCACTGTACCAGTTCCATCGCGTAGGAAGGCGGGCTTTAGGCTCTTCAACTTATCGGCACGCAAATTTTCGAAGCCCTCATCCCGCTCGATAACGGTATCTCCTTTCTTACCTTTTACAGTAACCGCCGCAATTTCATCGGCGAACTTGCTCTCCTTCCATGCCTGCTGGGCCCGCTCGTATGATTGGATAGCATATAAATCCTGGTCCTCCCGCGAGATGTTATAGTTTTTCGCAGTCTGTTCTGCGCAGATACCCATGTGGAACTTGTTGTAAACGTCCCATAGACCATCCTTGATGAGACCATCCTCAAGCTTGATCTCACCAAAGGGGGGTAATTGGCTGGCACGTGCCAGATAATAGGGGACGCGAGTCATGTTCTCCATACCACCGGCCACCTGGGCCTCTGCCAAGCCCAGTTGAATATTTTGTGCAGCAAGTGCCACAGCCTTCAAGCCAGAAGCGCAGACCTTGTTGATAGTTGTAGCTTCGACGGTGGAAGGGAGACCGGCAAAAATAGACGCTTGACGGGCAGGCGCCTGGCCTACTGAGCCCTGCAAAACATTTCCCATATACACATCCGTAATCTTCTCAACAGGTACCTTGGACTTAGCTAGGGCGGATTTAATTGCAACAGCGCCGAGCTCAGGTGCTGATACGGAAGCAAAAGAACCATTGAACTGGGCAACCCGAAGTTAGTGAACTGCTCCTCAGAATATTTCTTCACGTTCACATACCTTTGCTGTTGGTGTTCGAGACGCACTCAAAATGTAAGCTTCCTGAATCTCCTTGCATGTCGGGCGTGCGGAGCTGAACTGTCGCTGGGTGCGGAATGCGGGGAAGGCCCGCTTGGGGAGACGAGCAGACACGCCTAGGGAAATCATGATTTGTTTAAGATAGTGTGAGTGACAAGTTGACAGTATTGAAGCATGGAAGGGTTACGAGAGGAGAGAATCAAGAAAAGCTGAGGGATGTTCTTGCATGTGCATGCCGGAATTCAACCGCCCGTACAACCGCCTATAACCGCCACTCCGCTTGAACCGAGGTTCCCAAGGCGGTCGCCGTGAGGGCCCCGGGGCTATCCATGGATGACATAATACTTGCTGAGTCAACCTTGGAAGAGCTCCCCGGAGATTTAATTCTAGCCTATTTTGGTTGGTTTCTCCATTGAGATATTTCCTCCGATCTTCCCCTCCATCGCTTCGCTGCGTATCGCCTACCGTATCAATGACCTTTCGGGTTCCCTCTCCTCACCCTTTCCTTTCTTTTTCTTTCTACCCGGACTTTCTTTAAAAGTCCTGATACCTAGCTATACACACACAGCTTTAACAACCTATTTCAATCACTTGACGCATCTCCCGATTGTTCTATCATGTCTACATCCGCCCGCCGTCGTCTCATGCGGGACTTTAAGGTACGCGTTAATATCATCACTTTGTCTTGGGGCTATTTGAATCTTTTCACTGTATCCATAAATGGGCTCATCTTAAACTCTCCCTGTGTTCCTTCTGTACCCAATTTACTTCTTAGATTCGCCCCCGCTGACATTACATACTCATAGCGCATGCAAACCGATCCTCCAGCCGGCGTCTCCGCATCTCCAGTTGCTGATAATGTCATGACATGGTATGGTTCTTCCACAGTATGCTATGAGGCTCTTCACAATGATTCTGATGAAATACCAGGAATGCCGTCATCATCGGCCCCGCCGACACTCCGTTCGAGGATGGCACATTCCGCCTGGTCATGAACTTCGAAGAACAATACCCCAACAAGCCCCCTGGTGTGAAATTCATAAGCCAGATGTTCCATCCCAATGTGTATGGAACTGGCGAGCTCTGCCTCGATATTCTGCAAAACCGCTGGAGTCCGACATATGATGTGGCGGCTATTCTTACTAGCATTCAAAGGTAGGGTGGGCTTGGTTATGAAAGATCACTACACTTATACTAATATGCGGCTTGTCAATTCTAGTCTTTTGAATGACCCTAACACTTCATCTCCGGCCAACGTCGAGGCCTCGAACCTCTATAAAGACAACCGCAAAGAGTATACTAAGCGAGTGCGAGAGACAGTCGAGAAAAGCTGGGAGGATAACTGAGCCAACAAATTCGCTCAGCCGAGTTTGATGGGCTGATATTCTTATGAATGAGCGCACCAGCTTGACCGTTTGATCTGCACAGCATGGGGTTTCTGGCGCTTGGTATCTTGTTCTTTCAGGTTGTGTTTTCTTTCTCTCCTCTTTTTCGACGACTTTTTCTTTCCATTTCGTATTTTATCTCTTTTCTGATATCTCTAGTTCATGATCCTTCGTCCTTTGCCAAGTCATGTCAGGCGAGCTTACAAGATTATCCTCATAGTTTTTTGATGCATTAGCCTGCTTTTCCTGCAAACTTTGCGCTTTGATCCCTTGCATTGTAGAGAATAAATGGGCATGTAAGTAAACTAGATGTTCAATTACCTATGTAGGTATCTGCTTCCTTGTAATTAAGCTTATCTGCAGGATGGTTGCATATCCGAGTCCGGGGGCGGTAAGCCCAAACGGGGTGACTGTCAACAGTTGAAATCCCACTCTTTCGCGTCAACCCCCTCCCCTGCAAAGTCCCGTTGTAGGTCTTCTTGGTTTGGCCGTCCTTTCTTTGCGGCCTGACTGTTGCTTTATTTTTCCCCCCCTTCATTCCTTGGGCGTTTTGGTCCACGGTGCACGTGGACCCCCTGATCCTCAGCCCCCTCCTCCGAACCACTTCACCGCAACAGACGAGTTCCAATTTGACACGCCTCTGACGAATTCCGAGGTCCACCTACCCCTTCTCGGGGTATATTTTCTAGCTTGCGCGTGTCATAGCTAAGCCACACTCTACAAACATGGCGTGAGTATACGCTTGATCCTATCGTGTGTTGGCCATCGCTAATATGGTTCCACAGGTCCGCGGGGTCGAACACCATCAAGGGTATGCACAGACTAGCATAATAAACCAAGGCGCATTTTACTGGGGTTGAGACTGATTGTACGTCTATAGTGGTTGCTAGGTTCCGTCCACAAAACAAGGTCGAATTGTCCTCTGGGGGTAAGCCCATCGTCGAATTCGAGAATGAAGAGTCTTGTAGCATCAACGTGAGTCCGATCTAAAACCAGAAACCACGAGGACTATACTGACCGATATTTTAGTCCCGAGAGGGCACAGGGGCCTTCACGTTTGATCGGGTGTTCCCTATGGACACCGCGCAAAACGACATCTTCGACTTCTCTATCCGACCGACTGTGGACGATATTCTAAATGGATATAACGGCACAGTTTTTGCCTACGGTCAGACTGGTGCCGGAAAATCATATACGATGATGGGTTCCGACATCGATGATGACATAGGGAAAGGTATCATTCCACGCATGATCGAGCAAATCTTCGCCAGTATCTTGACTAGCCCGAGCAACATCGAGTACACCGTACGGGTCAGCTATATGGAAATCTACATGGAGCGGATCCGTGATTTACTCGTGCCCCAAAACGACAACCTGCCGGTCCACGAAGAGAAAGCTCGCGGAGTCTACGTTAAAGGATTGCTGGAAGTCTACGTATCCAGCGTGCAGGAGGTCTACGAAGTTATGCGCCGGGGAGGAGCAGCACGCGCCGTCGCTGCAACCAACATGAACCAAGAATCGTCTCGCTCCCACTCTATCTTCGTTATCACCGTCACCCAGAAAAATGTCGAGACTGGATCCGCTAAGAGTGGTCAATTGTTTTTAGTTGATTTGGCCGGCAGTGAAAAGGTCGGAAAGACCGGCGCAAGTGGCCAGACTCTGGAGGAGGCTAAGAAGATCAACAAGAGTTTGAGTGCGCTGGGAATGGTCATCAACGCATTGACGGATGGCAAATCGACACACATTCCTTACCGTGATTCCAAACTCACTCGAATTCTTCAAGAATCTCTCGGTGGTAACTCTCGAACGACCTTGATTATCAACTGTTCGCCTAGCAGCTACAACGATGCGGAAACAATCTCAACCTTGCGTTTCGGTGTGCGTGCCAAGGCCATCAAGAACAAGGCCAAGGTCAATGCAGAGCTGAGCTCATCTGAGATGAAACAACTGCTGCGCAAGGCGCAAAGTCAAATGACGAATTTCGAAAACTACATCTCAGCGCTTGAGGGCGAAGTCAGCATGTGGCGTAGCGGTGATAGCGTTCCTAAGGACCAATGGACCCCTTCGCGAGGAAACGAAGTTGTCAGTGCCGCGAAGACTGAAGCCCGTGCCCCACGACCGAGTACTCCCTCGCGTTTACAGGAGACTGCGCGTTCAGAAACCCCCCGCCCAGATTCACGGGTTGGAGATCGGTCCAGCACTCCCAGCCTGGTGCTGGAAAAGGACGAGCGTGAGGAATTCTTGCGCCGTGAGAATGAATTCCAAGACCAGCTCTCGGAGAAGGAGTCCCACATTGTCAACGTGGAGCGCAGCCTCCGCGAGGCACGCGACGAGCTTAGGTCTATGAAGGAGAATGGCGCACGAACGGGCAAGGATAATGAACGGTTGGGAACAGAAGTCAACGAGCTCCGCATGCAGCTTGAGAAGGTCTCCTATGAGAGCAAGGAAGCCGCCATCACCATGGATGGCCTCCGGGAGGCCAACTCGGAACTCACAGGCGAGCTAGATGAAGTGAAGCAACAGCTTCTGGATGTCCGAATGAGGGCAAAGGAGACCACTGCGGCACTTGATGAGAAGGAAAAGAAGAAGACCGAAAAGATGGCGAAGATGATGGCTGGGTTTGATCTCGGTGGCGATGTGTTCTCCGATAACGAACGCAAGCTGCAGGATCTCATCCAGCGCGTCGATGCTCTACACCAAATCAGCTCCGAAGGTGAAGTCATTGCACCAGACGACATCCTTGACCTTCGCACGAATCTTCTCGAGGCGCAAGGCTTTATCCGACAAGCCGAGCTGACCGTGAACGACCGAAGTGACTTTGGCGAGCTGCAGGACAGCCGCCGTGCAGACCTGGAAAAGAGGCTAGATGACCTCCAACGAGAGTATGAGAGTCTCCTGACGCGCAACTTGGGCGAGGGCGACGTGGAAGAGATTCGAGGACGACTAGAGCAGGTTTACGTGACAAAGAAGGAGGCTGAGACTGCGGCGGCGGAGGATCTTCGCTCTGACATTTCGCGCAAGGATGAGGAGTTGACCAAGTTGCGACAATCTCTTGTCGACACCCAGTCCCGAACCTCCACCAATGGTGCTGCAAGCAAGACTTTGCAGCAGCAAATCACCGAGTTCGATGCCATGAAGAAGTCTCTCATGCGTGACCTGCAGAACCGCTGCGAGCGTGTCGTCGAGTTGGAAATCTCCTTGGACGATGCACGAGAGCAGTATAACAACGTCCTTCGATCATCAAACAACCGGGCTCAGCAGAAGAAGATGGCCTTCTTGGAGCGCAACCTCGAGCAATTGACCCATGTACAGCGTCAACTCGTGGAACAAAACAGTAGCTTGAAGAAGGAGGTCGCAATCGCTGAGCGGAAATTGATTGCAAGAAATGAGCGTATTGCCAGCCTGGAAGCCCTGCTCCAGGAGAGCCAAGAGAAGCTTACCCAAGCTAACCACCGGTATGTGTTAACTGATTCCCCCGGATTCTGCTCGACGATATTCAGTACTAACTCTGCTGATAGATTCGAGGCTCAACTCACCGCTGTCAAGGAACGTCTCGAAGCGGCGAAGCAAGGCTCCACGCGCGGCTTACCGAGCATGGATGGGAATGCGAGTTTTAGCTTCGGGGGTTCGCGCATCGCGAAGCCACTACGCGGGGGTGGTGACGGGCCGGCGAATGCGAACGTCGCGGGCGTACAATCGCAAGAAGCGACCGGGAAGCGCAGCAGCTGGTTTTTTGATCGCCGATGATCCTAACCCACTGTCAGAAAGCTGCTCGTTCCTTGCACAACTGCTTCTGAGGCTTGATGGCAGTCTGCCGTGCACTCCAGATCTCGTGCAATTCGTGCTTCTTTCACTAGCATGTGGTTGATTTTGGCTAATACTGGTCTATATTGATTCCTCTTTACGCTGTCTCACGAGTTTCTTCTTTTTCTTCTTTGATCATCTGGTCAGCAGGCTTTTCTTGTTTCTGATGTCATTTTGATACATATTTTCTTCCCCATGTTTCCTTGCATTCCCCCAACTCCAGTACATTAGATCGTGCCCTGCATGCCGGAGACTGGCTCTTGTGTCTTCCAGATACCCTTGTACATCAATTCCAGATAGAATGGAGGAGAGCTAGTAGTTAGTCTGCGGCGGGGTCGACTTTAGTGATTTTGATGTGACATACTACTATATATGAGACGATAGTGGATTGATTCGTTCCTCACCATTCTCGTTCTGCCTGAAGGAGGTTATAGTCTTTACTTAGCAGCACACAGTCGAAGTCAGATCAAAGTCGGAGTCTAAAGCCAAGTTGATAGACACTGTATACATACACACTTCACTACCAAGATTGTACTTGTCTCAAATATACAAAAGACATGGGGGGTAATCGAAAAGAGGAAGACAACACAAAATAAACTAGAGAAACAGAAAATAGGAAATAGGAAATAAAAAGAAAACAGAGAATATGCAATGCATCCCCCTCGCCCGTCCAAAAGAGAATGCCTCACATTGCGCCAGTATTTCGCCCAAGCAACAATCTAAACCAATCCGTCGTAAAGCGACAAGGCACTGACGATGGTTTCATCCCGTTTGCTACCTTCTTTGAATTCCTCGATGTCGAGACTGCCATTCTCATCCTTGTCCATCATCCGGAAGATCTTCCGTACGCGTTTCTCCGGGGTATCTTCGTCCTCGGGGAGTTTCACCATAGATCCAACCTATATTTCCGTTAGTTATTAGGATATGATTTCACAAACCCCCTGTTGTACATACCATCTTATAGATCGCCTCGACAATGGCCAGCATTTCGTCATAAGTGATTTTCCCATCGCCATCAATATCGTACAATTGGAATGCCCAATCCAGCTTATCCTCCATCTTGCCTCGCGAAGTCACGGAAAGGGCGCAGATAAACTCTTTGAAATCGATCATCCCACTGTTGTCCGAATCGAAAACGCGAAAGACATAATTGGCAAAGGATGACGGGTCGCCGAAGGGGAAGAACTGCCGGTAGATTTTCTGGAACTCTTCCTTGGTCAGGGTGCCGGAGGGGCAGTCCTTGAGGAATCCTATAGACATGCCCACAATTAGTGAGTCGCTTTTGAATTTTGTTTCATACGTGTCCCATATCTCCGCATACCTTTATACCATTGTTGTAGCTCCTTCTTATCGAAATGCGTTGCCCTTTGCAGCTCATCGAGCTGCGTCGGCGAAAGCTTTGATTGACTGCGAAACACGGTGTTAGCGCGTGTTCTCTGCATTCAGTTCGCATGAAATTCCACATCTCAGACCGAAAGTACGGGGCCTTTGGTCCTGGCTTCTTCTCCGGGATAAACGCGGATTCTGAAACCCGTGGGGTCCTATCCATCGCAATGTGAGAGGATGGTAGAACTTACGACTTGCCCATGGTCAGATGGTCAGAAACACCTCGAACAGTACCAAGCGCACCAACTTCAAACCAAATCGGGGAGAGGTGGTCCTGCAATGGGCTAGGTGGTGACGCGGGGTAAAAACAGGCGGGATGTGTGGCTGAGTTGTGGCGAGTTGTAGGTCTACGCAAGGAGTGGGCCGAACGATTTAAGATGAAACAAGATGAAACAAAATCACAAACTAATAGAACAAATTCAGGTTTCTAAGAATAGAGAAGAGGTTTGAAGATAAAAGGTGGCGAGAGAGAATGTGGAAGTCCAGAACATCCCGAGGCTCTGGGCTTGGCACTTTTCTATCAACTTGACAATCTCATCATATCGGCGTATATATACATAGAAGTCCACCTTCATTTCTCCATATCAAAACATTTGCAACCTATCTGTGATGAGGCAGACTTCTCTCCAAACAATGATGAGGGCGGGCCTATTTTTTGAGAGAAGTATAAGAAAAAAAAAATCCCCCATAAAAAACCATAAAACACACGAGAACAGGGAAGTCTTGTCTTGTGAAGACCCCAAGATGCAAGGCTAAATGTTACAAGCTCCAATAGGAAGACATTTAATCCACCTTGATTGAGCCATAGATACGGTGGATGAATGCCCAACTGGCGAAGAAACCAATGGAACCTGGACAGAAGTTAGCAAAAAAAAAAGCCCATCTGGAAGACATGGAATGAAAACGTACCAGTCAGAACAAACACAACGAAGGCGATTAACGCCGAATAGCCCACATACAGCACCGCCCCAGTTATCCCACCAAAGCTAACTCGTGTCGCCCAGAAAATGAGTGCATTCACAAAGACATATCCTCCGGTCATACCCGCGCCTATAAATGCGCGCCAGTGCCACCGGTAGTTCTCTGCACATAGCAAGAAATATACCAGCAAGACGGTAGTAGCCGCAGAGGTAATGATCATCAGGCCGTAGCAGAGAAACAGGAAGCCAAACATGTAGTAGATCTTGTTGGTCCAGAGGGAAGTCATAATGAAGTACAGCTCGACGAAAATCGCACCGAATGGTAGAATTCCGGTCAGCAGAATCGACGGAATTGTGCGCAGGCTACCAGCCATCGGAGGAACTTGTCGGGGGATTTGGTTTGTCTTAGTAGGACCCTCGAGGGGCTATTGGAAAGTGAGGTTAGTTGTTTGAATGTTTGCATATGCGGGGTGGGGGATCTCAATACCGATTGCTTGAATCCCAACCAGCTGCCTGCCACACTCAATGGCACACTGATAACAAACCAGATCAATACCAGTGCCAACATAGTTCCAAATGGCACAGCACCGCTGGATCCCTTTGCCCAAACAAAGAGATTCAGCGTGAAGAAAGTACCAAATATAATACCAGGGATGAACAGAGGTGTCATGATAATGTTGCGCCTCCAAGCATCGCCACCGAATGATTTATACACTCGCGCCGACACGTAACCACCGATACCACCGAAAAGGGCGGAAATCAGGAGAATGGCAGTAGCTAGGAATCCACGATTGGAAGGAGAGAGGAGACCAAGTAGGGCAAATGCTAAAAAATCAAAAATTAGTACCCAAGAGGAGAAGAGGGTGAGTCGGACTACCTACCAACAGTCACACCGGTCATCATAAACAGCTGGGCGCCGTTGCCAACCATCACACTCAGCAGCAGTGGAGACTGGGGGCACCGAAAGACGTCGCCGTGGACCAACTTCCAGCCAGAATCCTCCTGGACTCCGTCTTCGATCGCGGCCGAAGTACTATCCAAATCCTCCAGGTTGAACGAATCCAGCCGGTTATAGCGAGCAATATCCTTCTTGAGTGCGCGGACTAGAATCATGCTGACCATACCCACGAGGAAAACCACAAACACAGCCGAGTTGATGAGAGAGAACCAGTGGATCTTGGGGTCATAGACATGAAGATACTTATCCCACCGGGTAGCCCAGGCTGTGGGGGACTCCTTCCAGTACACACTATACGTCCAGGTGACTGTAGTCTCTCCATCCTCGTTGAGCGTAAGGACATTGCCCTGGGTACCACATTCAGCGGTCCCACCTTCTAAATTCCGGGAATCCTTGCGAGACTCGGGCTGGACAAGCACTCCAACGACGCGATATTTATCCTTGCCGCCAAAGCCCACCTTATGGTAATCAATCACAATATCGTAGTGATTGTTGAGCAGAGCCTGCCCATTATCATCCAGATCACCCAGAGAGAAGCCGGGGTTGTAGAACTTGGTCTTGGTAACACCGTCATAGTTCAACTGCGCGGCTGGGAGCCCGTCCACAATCCAGTTGATGTTGTAGCCCTGAGCTATTCGCCGATTGGTCCATTTTGCGCTCCGATCATCGAATTTGGCCTCTGCGCATATCGATTTACACGTCTCGTTCTTTGCCATGTGAAGCTCGAATGGCGAGGTGCGAATTCGATCACCGAATAGAATGCTCCCCAGAGATTCCCTCACATCTTTAGGACCGTCTGTGGGTCGGCAGAACCCAAATGCTGGATGGTAGTAGTCATATGAGAAGACCGAATGAAGCTGATCATCGCGAGACAGGCTGGGGGTAAGGTGGTTGACATAAAGTGGAACTGCTTGTCCTTCGTCGTAGGAGGTTGGTGCAACACCTGGCAAGTAGAAGGCCGAAGTTAAAGAAGGGATTGCTAGTAGAGTCGACGAGAGAAGAAACGCTCGATCGGTGAACCGCATGTTGAGAGTCTCTATAGAATTTGGGAGCCTGGAAATCAACCTCAATTGTTTGTTTGGCAGAGATTAGGAGTAGAGCTAGGGTCTCAATGGGCGTTCGTGAAAGAAAAGGGGGTCCTTTACAGCGAGAAGCTACCCTAGGAAGTCGGAATCACGGTCTCATCTGTGAGAAACTCGCGATACTCAAAGAGAGGTAAAAATGCCAAAGTAACTGACTGCTAGTGACAGACTGGCAATGACGATCTACGGATGCCTGGTTTGGTGCCTTGGTGCCTTGTGCTTATCGCACGTGACTATGTTTATCGTCGAAGCGGCCAAATTTTTTTGTTTCGCGAATTATTGTTCTCTATAAACCATCGACTTTCAATCATGGCCCCAGCACAGGCGTCTGCACGCCCTCAAAGCCTATCGACATTACTCGAGACTCTGAATACCTGTCTATCGACAACTTCCTCCTCTCTACCCAAGCCACACAAGGATGCGCCTTCCGATGTCACGATCGAGCCTCCCCAAGACGGCATCTCTCTCCTCGACACCAAGAGCGAAATACTTCTCTCCTACTTGCAGAACCTCGTATTCCTGATTATCTTCCAACTGCGAAATGTGTCGGCGAAACAAACCCCGAAAGAGAAGAGCCAATCGACGGACAACTCTCTCGAAGATGATATTCGCAAGAAATTGATCGAGCTTCGGGTATTCCTCGAGCGTGGTGTTCGTCCTTTGGAAGGACGCTTGAAGTACCAGGTGGACAAGGTTATCAAGGCCGCAGAGGATGCGGAGCGGACAGAGAAGGCTCAGCCGGCCAAGACCAAGAAAAGCCGCAAAGCCGCGACATCAGACAGCGAAGCCTCATCAGGGGAGGACGAAGATGCTAGCGGTAGCGAGGATGAAGAGGATATCGATGAAATGGCCTACCGACCCAATGTTTCTGCCTTCTCGAAGGGAGTGGCCGAGCAGAAGAAGCCCCAGCCCTCCAAGGGCGCCGTCGAAGGACCTGGAGATGGCATTTATCGCCCCCCGAGGATCATGCCAACTTCCTTGCCTACGACTGAGCGCCGCGAGCGCCAGGACCGCAGGCCCATTCGGTCCAACGTCATCGATGAATTCGTCAGCGCTGAAATGTCGTCCGCGCCTATGGCTGAGCCCAGTATCGGTAGCACAATCATTGATGGTGGCCGAACGGTCAAGTCGAAGAAAGACCGAGAGCGCGAGGCAGAGCGTACCACCTACGAAGAGACCAACTTTGTCCGATTGCCGAAAGAGACTAAGAAGGAATTGGCCAAGCGGGGTCGTGGAAAGGATACCACGTATGGTGGCGATGAATGGAAGGGACTCAACGAGGGCGCAGATAATATTGAACGTCTCACCCGGAGAACCAAAAGCAACGGAGCCGCACTCGAAAAGAGTCGGAAGCGAGTCCGCAACGAGGACGGGCAACGAGGTGATGGTGTGGGTATGGGTCAAATCTTCGACAAGCGACGAAAGAAGGTTGACAGCTGGAAGCGGTAAAAAGTGGTTGGAGCGGACAATTTCCATGTTCAAAGGCGTTTCTTTCTGGCATTCACTTACTTTGGAGTTTTCTTGATTACCCCAAGGTCCATCTTGACCAATGCATACCTGTATCTACATTCTACGACATACATTGAAGGATATGATTTCCCCGGATCAATTCAATCTATGGCTGTGTGTGTCTAGGTGTGTATGCTTTGCCTTACCGCAGGAAGATAATGACCCATGCTGGACCAAGACCGGCATCTGGCATAGCCTTGGAACCCTCCTAAGGCTGATAAAAGGATGATCTTCGATATCTCTATAAATCATGTTACATTGGAAGAAATCACCTGTTTAAGAAGTACTTATTTGGGTATATATGTAGCCGTCGAACTTTGATGTGACCAGGTACGACAGATGCAATTCACATGTTAAACCCAGTCAAATATGACGTCATTGTATCCCCGGGAGCCAACTCATGATATCTTTTGCTTCTTTTCTTCCCAACAACACTCTTGAACCTTGATCAACATGGAAAACCCAGGTGCGTTGCCAATTTGATCTTCTATTTTTATCTCCTGCTCATCCTTATAGTGACCGATATACCTATCGTTATCCGGCATCTGACACAGTCGCCGCCGTCTTTGCAAGAAACCGTCCTCAAGCAGTATTTCACCAACAATGCATCTTTTGTTCATCCATTCTGCCGAGTACCCAACTTTGAAGGTAGCAGATGGTGGGTTTCAAAGATATTTCAATGGTATAAGATCATGTCACCCCGGATCGAGCTAGAGATTCATTCTATTGGTATGTCAATACGAGAAGTTCTAAGGTCGTGGACAGCATAATTTTGACTGCAAACTCTGACCCAATCTTCTAGCATTTGATGAGGATAAACTCAAGCTCTATGTGAATATGTCACAGATCTTCTCCATTTGGCTTGTTCCATTCCATGTCGCTCCGGTGACTCTCACGACTGTCTTGGATCTGACGTACAAATCGGTCAAGAGCGAGGCTACGACCAATGGCGACCATAAGATGTACTACATTTCCAAGCAAGAAGATTTGTATCAAACCTCGGAGTTTGTCAAGTTTATCATGCCGCATATTGGGCATTGGATTGTTTTCGGTTGGCATCTCATTGCAACCCTTTTCTGTGTCCTGGGTGTGAGTTTGCTATGGCCTATACTGTGGCTGGAAGAGGAGGGCTATATCCCAGGTCGCTTTTTGCGCGGGGGTAACCTGGCTTACAACATGGAGAAGAAGATACCAGAAATAAAAGGGTAATGATGGAGTAGATTTTCTATCTTCAGGTGGACATTATTGAATACAAGCGCTATGTCTGATTTCATATCACGTAAAATACATGTCCCTTAGCAATTGTCGGCCGAACCCGCCAATAAAGCATCTTATTCGAATTATGATGACCCTCATAACTTTCACTTCGCTCTATCCTCCACCATGGCATTCGCCATGTTTCATAGCAACCCAATTTACTGAGCTTTCTTTGACTTGCGCTGTTTCTTCAGCTCCCTGCGGAACGAATTTTCCTGTTCCACAAATCTCAAGGGCAAGCCTCGACCAATACCGAAGAACACAAACAACGCCCACTTCCAACGGAACGGGTTGACAACAAGGACAAAGAAGTACCAGTAAATCAGTTCAGCATAGGTAAAAAAGTCAAATGCTCCGGTGGGTGCCAGACGTTTCATAAACCTGGTGAAATCAATCCAAGTCTTCATCCACCCTTCAGTGGGTCTGGTCAATGGGTCGGTCAAGAACATGAGCAGGAATCGCGTGTAGATTCCAATGTGCATATTACCCACAGTACCAATCGCATCGACGTAGGTGCTGTTGTTTGCGCAAATATCCGGGTACTTGGGTGGGAAGACTTGGAGATACCAACTAGGCGGTCCGTAGGGTTCATCGAAACACTCATCGGGCAAAAAGGTCAATGAAGGCCGTTTGAAACCAGTTGCCATGACGATGATGTCTCCCTCGACCAGTCGTTCGTGGCCAGGTCCTCCCTTGGGGACGCCTTTAGATCGATAGTTAAACATCACACCCTTCTCTTCCACAGAGACGATGTCACCTCGTAACCAGTGGGCTTTGCCCTCACGGATCTGGTTAAACAACTCGTCATTTGCCATTGGAGTTCCGGTAAATATTCCCTTGTTTGTCGGCGCAATGTCTTGCAAATCACGATAGAAAAACTTGCGCAGCAACCATTCGGGAATCCACGAGAGTGAGGTTTCCTGGCCAAAGATATTACACGCTAGCAGAGACTGCACGAGTATATTGCGAGGAATGATCCATTTATCGGACCGAGCAAGAACATCAATCTCGGCAGCCTCATTCTTGACGGCGAACTCCAAGGCCTCGATGGCACTAGCACCGCCTCCCACAATGAGCACCTTTTTGCCTTTGGCGTCTTTGCCATCCAATTCAGAGGAGTGGTAGATTTGGCCCTTGAATTTTTCCTGGCTGGGTAGCGGTGGCATCTTAGGATCTCCACACACACCTACCGTAGCCAAGATACCGTCGAAGCGGCCATACTGCTCTTCGTCGTTGTTGATAATCCACTGACCATTCTTAGTCTTTTTCACGGATGTAACTTTGGTCTCAAAGGCAGTGCGTCTTTCTAGATCATATCTCTTCCAGACATCGACGATTTGCTCTTTTATCTGTTGCTGGGTGGGATATGCACTGTCGAACTGGACCGAAGGATGGAAACGGTACATGACACTGTGGACTTGTAATGCGGAGGTGGAATTGACTCTCTATAAAGGTATTAGTAGGTATTTTACCCAAAAACAGAAAGTTGAACTGACACTCCAGATGCCTCCCAATCCTTGTTCTTTGGGTCTAGATTCAAATAATTGGACATCGAAGCCATTGCCAACACAGTGGGCAGCCGAGGACACACCGGTCAGGCCTGCGCCAATCACTGCGACTCTCTTTCGAGGAAGATTGGGATTCTGAGCAGTAGGGGGTGGGGGTATAGGAGAAAATATGTAAACCAACACGGCTTGCATAGCCATGTAGAGCCAGGTAAAGGTCTCTACGAATGGATGCCGGATGAAGGCCGAGAGCGCCGAGACAAAGGACTCAGAACCCATGATTTCCTTTTTAGTTTCTTTCTCTCTCTCTTTTGCGTAAGTGAGAATTGCGGACAACTGAGAAGTAAAAAAAAGAAGAAACAAAAATATTTGTACTTCCAATTCCCAGTGCTGTGACGTTATGCCCTTTTACATGTGATGGTACTGTTAGATGACATCATCTAGCAGAGAACCTGGATTTTTGGGCAAAAGAGGATCCCAGACACGTACCCAGCACATGCTTAGGTAGACTATAACCTATGAGATACTGTAATATAATAGTAGTCTATGTATTGGCTTGATTTATTCTCCATAAAAGTCCCCACATAAGGAAATCTCATGTGAAATCGGTCGACCTTGCCAATTCCACGAATATCGACCAGTTTTAGCAAGTTGTGTTTTAGAATACAATACTGTTATGATGTTATAATCCCAACAGGGCGAATTAACCGGAGAGTATTCTAACCATGGGTATTTAAAAGCAATTGGGTGGCAGTAGAATAATATATCACTCTTGGAGGGCTTATGTACATATATGCGTGGAGTACACCTATTAAAATGACAGAAGTATCATTTTTCTAGGAGAATCATTCTTAAGAGGGAGCCTTAATCCATTATGTTTGAAACAGCAGATGATAATTATTCCCTAGTATTGTGTAGACATAATATAGCCATCTCTGTGCCGCATATTGTCTAGATCGAGTTATAGCTAAAATGTAGACACCAGTCCATTGAAACCAGACTAGGATTACTAGGATAGATTGTCTATCGATGCCATATCCATTAACATACTCAATGCCTTACCACAATTGAATATAATTGAGAATTGAATTAATTCCCCTTCACGGACATCCATGCTTGTATACAAAGGGCGGTCACGGGTTCTGCCATCAATGCCATCAATAGATGAGCCTCTTGGCTCTGCGACCCTCTGGGGTTTCGTTTCTTTGACCGTTAAGAATCTTTAAATGACACAATGATCGTTCAATCGAATTAATTCTCCTGGTGCGACTCTACCAGTCAACCAAGCATTTCGCTCTTTCAACATGGGTCAAACCCCCGTCCTCGACCAATTCCTCGGCAGTTTGCAGGAACTGGTCCAGAAGCGCGAAGGCGCCAAAGTTCAGGACTTTCTTCAGCTCGAGCCCCCGCTCTCTGAGATCTACCAGCGCATGATCGGTGAACTACGACAGCACTATGCCCCGGGCTCCAAAACCGACGCCGAACTACTTCAACGATGCGAGCCTCTCGTGCCACGATCCAAGGGTGGCTCATGGACGGCGTTCCCGACTTTTGTCAAGCTTTACCTGATCTTCCTGCGCGATATGAATACCGACAACTTATTGGAAACATACAATCAATTGAAGGCGCTGCTCAAGTAAGTTTTGCTGCCCTCGTGGTAGATTCTGAATGCGCCCTGTCACCCCCCCCCCAAGACGAGGATGCTACTCATATTTTCGAGCTTGAAAGCTGACCCAACCTTCTCATCAATTGCAGTCAATGTGTGCTCGCCCTCGGAGATAGTCAAATGGGTGTCGTCGTTCTTCCTACGGTTCTCTACTTGTCCAAAGTTCTGGCAAAATTGGCAATGGGCCTCGATCGTCGGCCGGACCTGATCGCGCATATTCGACGAATGGAAGGTCTGGCAGATCAAGACGAGAGCATTGAGAAGGTGACCTTGGTAGAGAAATCGGCCAATGTGGTGCGCGAAGCCTTCATCAAGTGCCTCACTGATCGCACCGGCACCCCCGGCCCTACTGGTAAGCCGGAGGGCAAGCGCATCGGTATTTACCTCATGGCTAATCTCTGCCTGAAACTGCTATTCCAGGTACGGAGGTCTATCCCAGATATTTTACCTTGTTTCGGAACTTGATGCTGACAGAACCCAGTGCGGCAAACTGCGCAACGCCGAGCAGATGTTTGCAAGCATTAGCGCCCAATCACCCCCCTTGGCCTACTTCCCAGCCTCACAGCGTGTCACCTATCTCTACTACCTCGGGAGATACCTTTTCGCCAATAATCTCTTCTTCCCCGCCCGCATCGCTTTGCAGGCCGCCTATGACCAATGTCACCGCCAGGCCATAAGCCAACGACACTTGATCCTCTCATACCTCATTCCGTGCAACATTATCTTGGGACGATTCCCATCCCAGGCCCTCCTCCAACGACCGGAAGCACAAGGATTAGCAGCACACTTCCAGCCATTGTGTCAATTGATTGTCCGGGGAGATTACCTGGCTTTCCGACAACATCTCTTATTTGGCTCGCCGACTGCCCAATGGTTCGCACGTAAAGGAATTCTGTTTACCCTCCGAAATCGTTGTGAGATTCTTGTGTGGCGATCTTTTGCACGCAAGGTTTTCATGTATGGAGGTTCCTATGGAGGTCCACAGGCGCAGGCGCAGAGGGGTCCTCCACCAGTCCTCAACCTTAAAAAGCTCGTTGTGGCTACCCGATGGCTACAAATGCAGCACGTATCATCCGGAAATGGCCCGGCCAGTGCTGCGATGACCCCCCACCTCTATGGATCACAAGTTGTTTCCGAACCTACAGATATCGACTACGCTCGCCTAGAAGTGACAGATGGGAGGGCCAGCCCCGCCACCGATCAAGAGATACTAGGAAAATATGGTGATTTCTTGGCCCCGGATGGATTCTACACCGAGGAAGGGCGATCACAGCCTAATCTACCGGGTCAATTGGTCGATGGAGACCCAGAAGAGAATTATGACGATTACGAACTGGATCCATATGCGTACGACGTCGACGATAGGACAGAAGCAGACATGTCCATGATGCAAGAGATTGAGTCGATCTTCGCATCTTTGATCACACAAGGGCTGATGGGCGGTTACCTTCTCCATCGTGAGCCTCGATTCGCCGTTCCTGGTGCCAAGATCAAAGGGATCTTGCCCACAGGATTCCCCAATGTTTGGCAAACTATCTCTGCTCGTGAAAGCCATGACTCCAGTGTTCCTGGTTGGGTACAGCCTCGGGCGCCTACAATCGGAGCAGCTGGAGGTGGTAGGGTAGTCAATCTTGCTGGAGCACGCCCAGTTGGCGTCCAATAAGTTTGGGTTTTCTATTCTTCTTCTTCTCTTTTATGTTGATGATACCGATATTGTAGTTCTGAATTTGATTTCATACAATTGCTATATGTACATAATGTACATAATGTATGTAGTCATCCATAGATGTCACCTGGGCACAGTGGACGTCACTTTAAATGCGGAGACCCTCGGGACATTCCCCTCATTCTCCTCATCCATTCTCTTGTGCCTTGTATCTCTTATGTTCTGGCTTTTGCTTATATTTACTTATTTTCTTTTCCTATAATGGATCATACTATAGCTGTACAAGAAATCTCAGCACGGGTATCGGACTTCCACAGTCACCAGCAACCGTTTCGTATATATCATGGTACCACCAACAGTACTCGACCCTCCAATCGATCACTCTCCAACACGGTCAGCACTAAATCTCTCACGCACATCCTCGAGATTGATATAAACCGATGTACAGCTATAGTTGAGCCCAATGTCTCTATGGGTGCTCTGGTGGCTGCCACCAAGGCCCATGGTTTGGTCCCTTTGGTTGTTGTCGAGTTCCCCAACATCTCGGTTGGTGGCGGATTCTCAGGGACATCCGGGGAGAGTAGCTCCTTCCGTGAGGGATTCTTCGATCATACAGTCAATTGGATTGAAATGGTCTTGGCAGATGGTCAGGTGGTGAAGGCATACAACGGCCGCGTCGAGACGGCATCGGAATTGGCGGATAAACACTCTGACTTGTTCTGGGGCACCGCATCTTCCTTCGGCACCTTGGGAGTCGTCACCCTATTGGAGATTCGACTGAAAAAGTCACAGCCATTGGTGGAACTGAAATACTATGTCAGTTCTAACATGAAGGATGCGGTGCGGGCCTTTGAAGAGGCTAGCGCTGATCCAAGCACTGAATATCTGGACGGAATCGTCTATGCACGGGACAAGGTCGTCGTTTGTGCTGGGAGACAAGTTAAACAAACTTCTAATGTAAAGCTAAGACACTTTACGCGCCGACAAGACGATTGGTTCTATTTGCATGTCGACCGAATTGCTCAATCCAAGACATCCCAAATCTCCGATCGAGAGAGTTCACCTCACATGCCAGATGCAGTGGACTACATTCCTCTCACTGACTATCTTTTCCGTTATGATCGAGGTGGTTTCTGGGTTGCCCGTTATGCTTTTCGCTACTTCTGTGTTCCTTTCACCTTCCTTACACGTTGGATTCTCAACCGATTCATGCACACTCAGGTGATGTATCACGCCCTACACGTCAGTGGGCTTGCGCGTCGATATATTATCCAAGATATCGGTGTACCAATATCCGCTGCTGCCGAGTTCCTGGACTGGCTGGATCGTCCTGAAAACTTCGGACAATATCCGCTTTGGCTCTGTCCGCTACCACCAGGAGGTGCCGGTGGGCTAGAAGGAGAGTCGGCGGATGATCGAAAGGGAGTGAATGTGGATACACAGAATACCCAACTGCTCAATTTTGGAATCTGGGGGCCTGCTGCTACCACGGATCAGGCCGGATTCGTGGCCCAAAATCGGCAGCTTGAACACAAAGTCCACAGTCTGGGGGGAAAGAAATGGCTATATGCACATACTTACTATACAGAGGAAGAGTTCTGGGCCATCTACAACAAGCCCGGTTATGATTCTCTACGGGCAAAATACCATGCACAACACCTTCCATCCCTGTACGAAAAGGTTCGAGTGCATGAATCCGATCTCCCCGGCCCGCATCGTGGAGAGTTCGAGAGAGGGTGGAAGGGATCAATCAAACGTTTCCTTTGGGACGTCTGGCCATTTTGTGGTCTTTACGGGGTTTACAAGGCTTGGAGAGGAGGAGACTATCTGTTGCAAAAAGAGATTCCCAAGAAGAAGGCCGATTGAATAGGATAGTTCGAAAATATTCAGGGTATCGATGCATTTCGTCCATCCAGAAACGCCAGGCCACCCAGCGTATGTGCGTGT